GGGCCGTGCTCGGGTCTCTCCGACACGCGTACTTTATAGGTGTAATTACGAGCCTTAAAACTTAGCCCGGTCGTATCGTGACAGCGAAATTGCACGAGGACGATGATACGGTAAGGGTCTTCGGCCCCATAAATCGGCAGGAAGATAAGGGCCGATCCGTTCGGATCCTTTTTTCTCGCCGCTCGCTCAGCTGACCAAAACCGTACCGCAGGAAGCGGCCTTCTTCCCTTTCCTTCGGACGATCGAGATTATGCTAACGTTTCGATGATTTACGCCGCCCTCGAATCCCCAGTTTGGCCAACAGGCCCCGAGATTCTCGCGCGCCGTGGCTGGCACCCGCTTCTTCTTCTTCTTCTTCTTCGACGAATTCGAGCGAGTCCCAGCCGCCACGGCACACACACGCACGCAAGTATTTACCTGGACGAGTTATGCGGCGCAGGTGGAAAGTTATCCCTCCGACATAATGACTCTATCTTCCGCGCGCGGGGCCTTTCTCCCGTGCCGCGAGGGCCATGCGGGGGTCCGGCGGTGTTACGGTAATAGTCCGTGACTATATGGTTGACCGCGACTATCGCGCGCTCGGGAGGGATCAACGGGTCCGCAGCCACCACGGCTCCGTTTTACGCGCGCGGAGGGCCCATACCCCGCGTGTGGCTCGCTTTCACGCTCCGGCTTTCGCAACGCGTCCACGTGCCCCGCGTTTCGCGTAACGAATGTAACACCGATTTGTTAGCGCTGCGGCGAACGCCAGGCTTTATCTATCCACCGGTCTTGTCAGTGCGGCCGTTTCCAGCGCGAACCGTGTTACGTGCAAGGAAACGCTACCGATCACGCGAGCGTGGGCGACGTCGATTAACTTATCCTCGTTTCGCTCTCATTCGTCTCCTTTTGCTCTCGAGTGCAACGCACCGTGCTAGTTCTCGCGCTCCCGCTCGCGTTTCACGCACGTACGCGCTTAGGCCTACGCGCCAGCGTCTTCAGAGATTATTCAGCCTCTACGTGGATTTTTAGCCTCGAAATGACAGCGTGCCGCGCGATCTCTAGCGTTTCTCCGGTAATTTCAAAGCGGTGTGTCTCGATAAACGGAATTACACGATTACGCGCAAACTGCGGGCAACGCGTCTCCGTGTTATTACCGAGTATTACACCGCGTCGGACTGGAGAAACGCTGGAAATCACAGGTTGCGCGATACTACTTCATCGCGTAGTTAAAACGCGAAACGATTAGTCACCGATCTGTCGTCGGTGAAAACGGTATAATCGGTACACGTGTTTAACCGGATAGCGTATGCAAATTGACAGAGGCAGCGGGATCCACTGAGGAGAGAGTCACGGTGTACTCGATAGACTCGGATTACGCTTGATCTCGAATTAATTTAAAGAAATACGAATTTTCCGTGACAGATGGAATTTCTGGTGGAAGATAATAGGTATCTGGCGGCGTTTGTAACGGAAGCGAGTGGGAATTTCGACTGTCTAATTAACTCGGTGCGTTGATCGGTATCGTTGAAAGGAATATAGTCCGTATACAGAAGTCCGCTTCCAGAGAGCGTCTACTTACCCCGTGTCAGGGCAATTAGCGGCGGTGATGGGTTAATTGGTCTCGGTCCTCGTTTTCGTCGCGTGACGAGCGTTAGGAGATGGGGAGATTCCTCCGGAGCGGACAGCTCGCGAGCGGAGCGTAAAAAGGGCACCGCGGGCGTTTCGCGCGCTCTACGCCGCGACGCGATTAAGCTCGCCAATTCGAGACACTCGCTTGTTTATCCTCGACACTTAAAAGGCCAAGTGTACCGACGGTGCTCCTATGAGACCGAGAATTCCCCAAGGATACCATTAGCAGTAAGGTTGTAACGCTGAAACTATCGCGTGTAATGCGCCATGCACGCGCGAAAATATTCGGTCACGCGTATCAATGCGCAATTTACCTCTTCGTTTTACTTTCTCCGCATACTCTCGATCAGCTATCGTTATCGTAAATATCAGACTCGGTATTATCTATAACGCGCGGTGTAATACACCTCTGCCTTGATTTACGCGCTACTCTTAGTACGCGGTAAATTACAACGCAATTTACGCGCCAGTTTTTATGCGCCATTTTAATTTACGCAGAAGAAAATATATTTTCCGGGAAGCTTTAAAAGCGTAACGAGTGTGTGTACGGTGAGTATATCGACGATATTGTATTGCGTTAGTACTGTATGGGACGAAGAAAAAGATATAGCGCGTTCGAGGAAAGAAGGCATAACGTGTTTACAGCTTGATGGCTGATCAACTATACTGACACTCGTATCGTCGCAGGCAGTGAGCGTCAATTATTGGCCAAAGATGGTGACAAAAATCATCGTTCACCGTTTTCTGTGATCAAGGGAATTAATCAGTAGTGGGGATGTAAACGCAGTGTGCCTTCTTTTCTCGAACGCGCAGTACCTTGCACCGTGATAGCCGTCGTACGTATATTGACAAACTTTATTTACGCTATTTTTATTCACGCACAGAATATTTCCGAATATTTCCCTCACCTAGATTACGATGTCCAGACAAAGATAATCAAGCATACGCAATGATTTCAACCCTTTGCACTCGACGATCTTTTGGCTAAAGAAGAGCAAGAGTTAGGTTAGGTTTTCTGCTACAAAGATTTTCTGCTATAAAGCTGACGATACTTTTTGGAGCAGTAAATAGGAATTCGTATAATAATTAACACATAGAATTATTCGATTTGGATACCTCCAACACCGTTACGTTATCTTAAATTTGACACATTAACGAGTATCGATCTTTGAAATTTTATCAAATGGCGACTGTGGGGCGCCCCTTTTCGAAGTTAGTTATTTTCACTGGCCCGATGTTAAATCGATATTTTATACGATTAAGAAAAAGGCGCGTCTCGGACGCCGAACGCTTTACAATCTCGACGACACTTACACCCTGTAATCCGCGTGTAATTTTTCCTCTCGTTACCATGAACCGGTTCCACGGACTCGTTACGTATTCCCTCAAACGCAGCTCGTACGGCACCATTGAACGGTCGAAAAACACGGCGCGACACTAGCGAGAAGTGCAGCTGGTTCCAGGAAGGGGGAATGTTGCCTGTCCGCGCAAAAATGAATTCGTTCGTTTCGGCGGTACAGAACCGTGCGCGGAGAATAAAGACACGTTCCTTGCCTCTTTTCTCTCCTCCCGCGCCGTGCAGTTGCTCTCGCCCACGATCGCTGATCTTATCTTCCTCCGTATCTCCGGCCATTCGCGCCTCCAACAGTCACTAGGCGCTTTTAATCGCGGCACCCAGACGAACAGCGTCGCCCGTGTCCTCGCGACCAGCCGACCCCCTCGACCTCTCGTCCATCGTCCAAACGAACTTTCGCGTCTTTGGAACAGGAAAATAATTCCAGACGATCGTTAGATGGGAAGAAAATGGAATCGATTCGATGACCTACGATAGAAGCCAGCTCCCCTTCGTTTACCGTAAGAAAGGGATCCTTTCTTCCCAGAGACTGGTATTTGGTATTTCGAATGACCGTGTTCAGAGGGTCGTAAATTCGAGGGGGTGTCGGACACGCGTCTGTCGGAATCTCGGGGCTATCGAGTTTGGAGAAATATCGGAAGATTGGGGTTCGAATATCGTTGGAGAAAATTTTAGAAATTTAGCTACCATTTCGAAATTGGGATATCGAATTCCTTTGTCTCGGGGTACCGATTTCTCGCACGAGGATCTCGCAACTCGGTCACGCGTTCGTGGATTTGGGACGTTGTCAGCTGTTTTCCTGGGAATCGACGTCGGGTCCGACGACTCGGAGCGGAAGAGAGCGGCTAGAAAGAGGGAGGGTAAAGTGGGACAGGCGAGTGGGTAACTCCACCTTCTATCCACCTGGAAGAAACAGGAGGGAAAAGATGGAGTAAAATAGCAGCGGAGTAATGTCTCTATTCTCGCTTCGACCGCCACATTCTCGAGCTCGTTCTACCCGATAATTACACGTTGCCGTGGCACACTGGGCGCCCTTCAATTAGGCCGAGGAATCACCTGCTTCCATACCGACAGACGAAAAACTCTGCTTCGTCGTTGGCCGTGAACCAACTCGCACTACCCCTGGGGAACGTTGGTCATCGAGGACGCGCACCTCGCGAGCCGCTATTCGTAGAATCTTCACGAGAGACGGGAACGGCGTTCCCTCTTTGTGCGAAGAGGCGAAGCTTCTGCGAGCGTAGAAATATATTTAACAAATTTTTGATACGCGAACGACACAAAGGACACGAAGCGGCAGCTCGCTAATTGCTCCGCAAGGTGGTTGTTCGCCTGAAAACGAGCAACCTCCGTTCCTTTTTTCGAGCAATCGGCTCTCGACTGCGAGCTACAATTGAAGTCCGGAGTTCCTCGAATCGATGTCGCCCGTTTGTGTAGGTCGGTTCTCCGGAATTCAGGATATTTTTAATCATCGTCCTTGCCGGCCGTAACCACATCCTCGTCGACGTTCCTTTCGTCCCCTCGCTTCCAAGGATATTTTTTTCGCATGACATCTTCCTCCGTCGCGTGTCACCCGACGGCGGGCCACGTTCTCGGACGATGGCCGGAGTCGTTGAAGTTGCGTGCGCGACCGCACGACAGGAACCACATCTCAATTACGAGATTAATATGCGAGCAATAAGAACGATATTGCTCTCTTAAAAGGGAGGAGATACTCGCGTGATTCCTCCTCGCCGATATTCCTTTGCTTCCGACCGTTACCGCGGTGCTTATTTTCGTCGAATCGATAAACTTTATTTATTTATATGTCTATCAATTTTAAAAAATTCGCGGTTAATCGGTCCGGCCGGCGAATGGCTCGCATAAAAGATATTTACGCGAAATGAGAGGTTATTACACTCGCAGGCTCTTTTTCCCCGGATCGAACGACGCTCGTATAGACCCCGTATAGACCTCTTCCATTATGGTCTATAAACCGCAAAAAAGCGAAATTGAAACGAACCCGTTCCAGCAGGTGGCAACTAGAGCTCTGCCCGGGATGAACGATTTCGTGGAGGGTACCACGTTCGAGGGTATCGTGCGATACGTGTTGAAGAAGACGAAGATGACCGAAGCGCGCGCCGGCTACCTGGTAATGGAGGTTCTCAAGGCGGGAGTCGCCCTGGGACGGATCAAGAGGACGTCTCATGGCACCTATGTCCTGGCGACGGAGAGACCGGGCTCGATCACGCACAGGATCAGAGAACCGCGATTCAGCGACGACAGCGACGACAACGACCGCGAAGTCTCGTCCGAGGGGAGCTGGTGAACCGAGGGGCGAGCCTGTGCCCCCCGTTTGCTCCTCGGAGACTCGGATGTCTCCGATGAAAAACCATGTTCCAGCGTGCCGTTCTATTAATAAAACGTTAATCGTTAAGCGTAAACGAACCGAAGCAGCTGCATACGATTATCCATCTGCTTAATCGAATAATTGTTTCGAGCGCTCGTTCCCAGTACGCTCGCTGCTGTCATTACAATACTAATTACACCGGTCGTCCTCGCGACGCTCCTTTTTCATATCCATCCTTAATGGTCCTCGCCGCTCGAGACCAGCCACCTCCTGCCTGTCCACGAAAAACGGCCAAGGGGATGTAACGTTTTTCGTCAGCGACGAAGAAATCGTATTCATCGAGCCACCGGGTTCTTTCTCCGGGGCCATTTCGTGGGATGCCCGGTTTCCAAGGCTGGAACACGGCCGTCGTTCCAGTAATTGGTTCGTTTTAACTGCGAGCCTAAAGGTTATGAATTTATGCCTCGCCGCGTAAGATATAATTGGGTGTTCAATTAATATCCCGATAAAAAACTCGCTGCACCGCGAGACGCGGCTCACTCCCCCCTCCCTCCACCTGCTCACTCTTATTCTTTCTCTTCCCCTTGTTCCCTTTCTTTTGTCCCCTTTTTGCCTTCCCTTTCCGGAGCTGCCTTGCTCCGGGGGCTGATCTCGCGGTTCACCGCGTGCTCCGTCAGCGGGGGTCCTAAACTACCGAAAACCCTTTCGGGTGCGGCGGCCGGCAAACAAGAAGATGGCGAGATCGGCCCCGACCACCGGCTGGATAATTGATTTTCCACCGAACGAGCGTCCCACGGAGGCGGCCCGATTCGTCGAACCGTCCGACTACTTTGGCGATCGCATGACCGGATGCTGTTGTCGAGCTTACGAGCCACCGCCGTTCCCGGCAATCTTCCTCCAGTTCGTGCCTCCAGTGTTCCCGAGAGACGGACAGAAGCGGGAAGTGGAGTCCAGTCGGAGCTAAGTAGAGCGCGTGGGCAAACTGGTATCGTTGCCTCGGACGCGAACGTCCTAGACCACTCCGGTAGGGGGCTGTTGTTGCTTCGGTAACACTGGGTCATCCTATCCGCGATGATCCATCGGCGGCAGAGCGGGATCGGTCGCGAGACCCACTACCGCGCGAGAACTACCACGCGAGACCGATGAGTTATACAGTGGACGTCGCGTCTGGTTCGAGCGTCGTTGTCGGCACTTTGCAACAATGTGGAGAACGTCCACGTTCCACGGCTCTTTGATTTGTGTTCCTTTGTTGAATAAGCGTTTTTCATGCATCGTGCTCCCGTACCGGAACGACGTAGCTCGTTTCTCCCGCTCGTACGTATGTTAAGGACCTTTTAAGACGTCTCTCGGGTTTATCCCGCTGCGCTACCGGTACCAGTTTCCGTTCTCCGTGTCGCGCTACACATAGGCGAACCCAGCTATTGCCTCGCCGTCCAGACCAGCCCGACCCTCGCTCTTCCTCCTCTGCCTCTTTCCTCGCCTAGGCTCGTGAGACTCGATCCTCCTTCTTCTACCTCTCCTTCTCTTCCCTATCCCGGTTCCCTTCCGTCTCCCTCACTCGCCCGGTCCACGGCTCTTCTTTTTTCGAGGTGCTGCAGGTGTCGTGCATTGTCCGCCGTCGCGGCCTCTAAATCTCGTCCCTGACGTTGTGCGGCGTAGCTGCGTCGTGGCGAGCTCTCCCAAGATACATACGACTGTCGGGAAGTTACACGTTCCACGGACACTCGTTCTCTTATTGCGAAACGGCCCGACTGATAACCATCTTTTCGAGAATTTCGGCCCCTTTCATAAGTTTCATCGCCGCGCTAACGATACTTTGGACACCGTCGCGGCCGCAACGACCGTTTACATCACCCCTAACGAGTTCTACGCGTCCACGTACACCGAGACAAGCGCGAAATAATCCTCGATGACGCCGAGTCGAGGATCGAAAACTTTGCAAATCTTCGAGAAGCTTCGAGAAAAGGAAAAAGAAAGGAGAAAAGAGGAGGAAAAGCGAAATAAGTCAGGACCATTGGTAAGTAGCGCGTTTACGCGAGGGGAATTCCGAGGGACCAATTACTAGACGCGAGAAGAGTCGGAGAGGAGATTTATTCCGGCCATTACAAGGAACGGTCGCCGGCGTGGAACCTGGCGAACACGAAAACTATTCGAGGCTCCACGAAACGCGCGCGCGCCCCGCCTCCGTTAACACGCGCTGCCTACACGTATTTATGCGTCCGCCTGGCCGCGCCAACGTCGAAACGGAACGCGTGCTTAACAACCTCTGGAAACAGAAACGCGGTTGCGTACCGTGAAAGCCGGAGCCGTTGCCTGTCGCGGGCCGCCGCCTATTGCGCACGGAAAATGTTCCGCCGCGGTCCTATACGGTGTCCTCGCGGCCAGACGGAAGACTTATGCGTCTGCCCGCGCCGCGTACCAGGCCGCGTACCAGGCGGCTGAAACAGGAAGAGAAGAGGTACGGCGGATGGCGCACGGGGTGTATCGGCCGCGTACAAATTTATGCCGGTGCCACGCTAATGTCCGCCCGGTCGCATACGTTCTCCTTTGGCTCGCTTGGCGAGCACGCGCGCCGGTCGCCGTGTACCGGCTCAGCTTTGGAAACTTTTGCGGAACCAGGCGAAATTTTCTGCTTCTTTCGCAGAATAATCTCGCGCATTCATTCGAGAATTAAATGTAGCAACGCTCGATGCTTTCGTTATTCGCGCGATACGAAAAATTCGCGGTAGCGGTAAACGGGTACGTAATGTGGATATTCCGCGTTGATCCTATTACGGATAACGGCGCGGAGAAATTGTCGGGGAAAGAAGGGAATAAAAGGCGTCCACGATCTCGTTACCGGTGCACAGAGGGCCGATTCGAGAGAGCCACAATTTCCAGCGATAATGGACACCGGACTCGCGCGGCGCGCTCGCGATCTCGCCCCTCTGTGGCGCGGTACCACCGTATCTCCATATATTTACATGGACCGGAGCTGGATGCGCGGTTTAAAATATTCCGGGCAATAAAAAGACACGCGGGTCGAGCAAAGGCTACTCGCGACATGCATAATTTGCACCCCGGTGCGCCATATACGTAAGTAGGTTGCCGAGGCCGGCCCGTGCACCGAGACCGCGACACGCCGCGCAAACAGAGATGTAGATAAATAAAGCGCGAAGCGCCGTAAGCGTGCTGGCCACGGCTCACAGTCTCCGGCGTGTCTTCCGTTTCGTTCTGGGATTCGCAGGATCTCGGGACGAGCCTCTCCTGCCGGTTGCCCGGCGTCCAAAAGGCTAATTGGACCTGGCGCGCACGGACCAGCTGCCTGCGCCGTTCACGAGGCGGTCCGTGTTTCATTCAAATCGATTCCGCGTAAAATCCCGGCCCTCCATCGATTCGGGCCCGTATATTACGCGTGGCCGGCCGCGCGACCTTGATCGACGGAAATTACGAGACTCGCGATTTGTCTTCCCGGCACCGGCACCGGCAGCAAGGGAAGAGAGTTCTCCTGCGGGCTATCGGGTATACGCGGGGGGCGACGCTCGGATTCAAGGCGACGAGGCGACCGTCGATTCTGCAACCTCATCCAAATAGAGCGTGGATTTCTATGTATCGAGATAATCGATCTTAATGGACCGGACTCGGCCGCTAATGAACGCTGTACGCGGTCGGTGGGAAAGGGTGCGAGGGAACCGGACGAGCGTGTCGAAAGCCTATCCTCGCGAGTGTGCAATAATCGAGGATCGACGTTGCGCGAGAAGGACCAACGCGATGGAGAACCCCGCGAGTGTGTCATAACGCGATTCCGCGTGTACCGTAAACCGGATTCGAATAGAGACGATGCATCAGGGATTCAGAAGAGGAGAGTCCGCCGCGCTCGCCGCTTCTTCTAGGGCCACCTCGCAATTACATTTTATGTCTTGCAATCGGTAAAACTCTAAGTACGCCGTGGCGCGTAGTTTGCGCCGGCGTAATTTCACCTTCGATTCCCTGTGCCCGCTGCCCCCGCGACCCCTCCGCCGGCGTTCTCGCGCGAGCAGCGCAGCGCGGCGTTGTAATTTCGCGAGAGGCGGGAGAAGCCGCGAAGGGACGGCCGCGAGTATACGGGAAGGCGTAAGCAGCTCGGTAATCAGCACGTACCTCATCTTCGACGATAACGCGAAATTCAACGCGTATGCGTTCCCGCCACTTTTTTCGCATACTCCGCGAGCGCGCCATTGCGGGGCTTCGCTATTTGCAGACCTTAACCGAGCTCCCGAGCGCAGGCATAACTCGCCAGTCCACAGGTGTAAATTAGTACGGGCTACAACGGAAAATTATTGCGCCGATTCGTGACCAAAGCCGAGTTCGCTTCGTGCTCGAGGTTAGAGAACCGATCGTTCCGCGCCAACTTTCGCCCCGTTCCGTTTCGCCGCGAGACGAGTCGAATTATCGAGCGCGAGACCCTTTTCCCTTTTTTCTTCGTCTAATTAATACGTCGTTTATCGCTAACAGGCCACGAAACTGAGTTTCTCGCGATGCAAACGATCGTCACGCTGACTACGCCCGACAAATGAAACCGTATTTCTCTTATACGGGGACCCGACTACCGTCGATTTCGTTCTTCTTCCCACAGATAATTAGATACTAACCGTGAGAAGTGGCGCGATATCGAGCATAAATCCCGTAAAAAAACGCACGCGTTTCCTTCGAATAAAAAGAACACGGAGATTCCTATACCTCGCGTTTTGAATTTCGCGCGTCGCCGGTCCCCCCGGTTTCGCGTTGCGCGTTCTCCGATATCCGCGTAGATCATACCGATAGCACGATGCTCTGCAACTTTCCATCCTCTGTATACCGAGGGCGATTAGACCTCGACGAACGAGCCAATTCCGCGCCGATAAAGGCGCGTTTCGCGTTAATCGGTGGAGATAAGGGAACTAGCCCGGCCCCGGGAAGAGGCGGAATTAATTAGGCTACCTGGTAACGGATTGGCGGACTGTTGCACTCGGAGGGAGACC